TGGCAGGGATTTTACCTCATCATTATCCTCATCAATGTACTTGATCTGAATGTTGTCCAGGTCAAATGAAACTTTAACCTGTAATAAAAAAATAGAACACAAAATCATAGTGAGGCAGGACCTCAGTTAACAATGATTATTAATTGGGAATAACATTAAAACCCTTCCATCCCTCCCTTCAGTTCCTCAGAAGCAAACATTGTTTTACCAAATCCATTCCTCTGGAGCTGAACTCTTCCCAGTGCCTTCCCTCCAAGCTTTACTGACTTTCCCTAATGAAAATAATAAACACATCTTTTTCCTCTTGCACCTTGTCAGGTTAATGTTTACTCCAAAATAAATAATAAAACCCTCCCCATTCTAAGAGGACAAGCTCAGGGTTAACAAACTCAGTCATGGTAAATACTGCAAAACATGAAGACAAAAACAATCCCTAAACTCTTTTTGGAAAGCACCTGGGAGACAGCTCACAAAGGTGATCAGCCTTTTCTCAGCCTATCAAAATTCAGAGAATAAAGCTGAGCAGTTATTTTGCATTTTATATTAGCAAGGCAGAATGAGCAGCACCAAATCAACCATAAAATGAAAGCAGTTGTTTCCACATGCTGAGCCTTCGAGATTCCTGTACATTTCTGTACCAGGTTCCTACAAAAACTGCATTTTTCTGCTTTGGTTTGAACAGACAGGTGTCTGCTCAGGAAGGGAGACACCTGGAATGGAAAATGTAAACCTCCTCCTTCTGAATTATTATCATTTTTAAATTAAGGGGTTCTCAGGCAAAGATATGGGAATAAAATAACAGTTTATTTTTGTACCAGGTTCCTACAAAAGCTGCATTTTTCTGCTTTGGTTTGAACAGACAGGTGTCTGCTCAGGAAGGCAGACACCTGAAATGGAAAATGTAAACCTCCTCCTTCTCAATTATTTTAATTTTTAAATTAAGGGGCTCTCAGGCAAAGATATGGGAATAGGAATAGCAGTACCAGGTTCCATTTTCCCAACAGAATCTCTCTGAAACAACTGACACACATCCTGCTAGGCCAGACCTAACAGAACAACAGCCTCAGGCAAGAGGGGCTGCCTGGGGAGTGCCACAGCCCCACTGGGGCACGGGGACACACGGACACAGGGACACACAGACACAGCCCCACTGGAGCACAGGGACACAGCCCACTGGGACACACGGACACTGGGACACACAGACACAGCCCACTGGGACACACGGACACAGGGACACACAGACACAGCCCCACTGGAGCACAGGGACACACAGACACAGCCCACTGGGACACACGGACACAGGGACACACAGACATAGCCCCACTGGGGCACGGGGACACACGGACACAGGGACACACAGACACAGCCCCACTGGAGCACAGGGACACACAGACACAGCCCACTGGAACACACGGACACAGGGACACACAGACACAGTCCACTGGGACACACGGACACAGCCCACTGGGACACACGGACACACAGACACAGCCCACTGGGACACATGGACACAGGGACACACGGACACAGCCCCACTGGAGCACAGGGACACACACACAAGGGACACACAGACACAGGGACACACAGACACAGCCCCACCAGGGCACAGAGACACACGGACACAGGGACACAGCCCCACTGGAGCACAGAGACACACACACAAGGGACACACAGACACAGGGACACACAGACACAGCCCCACCAGGGCACAGAGACACACGGACACAGGGACACAGCCCCACTGGAGCACAGAGACACACAGACACAGGGACACACGGACACAGCCCCACTGGAGCACAGGGACACACACACAAGGGACACACAGACACAGCCCCACTGGAGCACAGGGACACACAGACACAGCCCCACCAGGGCACAGAGACACCCGGACACAGGGACACACGGACACATTCTGCTCCAGGCAGGCTCTTCCAGCAGCACATCCCAGATTCTGTGAGTGCAGAGACAGAACCAGCTTGTTGTGCCAGGAAGAAGCTGTGCTCTGTACTTCCATGGTCTGGAACCACAGATTGTTCCCCTAAACTCAGGGCAGAACAAGAGCTCACAAGTTTATAAATTTAACCCTTATAAACATCAACCACATGGAATAAAATACCAAAATACAACAAAGACACAAGTTTAACTCCTTTAAAACAACATTTCCCACAACAGAGACAACCCCTGGCTGTACCTCAGGGAAACACTGTAATGGAACACCACACCTTGAACAAACACACCCTGGCTCTCAGAATACCTGAGATTAAGGGCAGCACGGTGCTTACACAGTAATCTGCTTCCAGCTTTGATGCAAGCACGGCTCTGACTAGCTCAGACATTCCTGCAGCTCTACTTGCACTAAGTATTTTAAGATTGAACCTTTCGGTGCTTCTTTCAGAGGATTGAAATACAGCAAGGAAAGGTGATGCAGCTCAAACTTTGAACTGGAGCAATTCATAAAACAAAACCCTCCTGCATGTGTACTGGAATATACTGGCCAGAAAAAGAGATGAAAAACAGAAAATAAGACAGCAACAAGATCTCTTCAGATGTATCTATGAAAGCAAGCTAAGAAAAATGAGAACAGTTGTGTGGAAGAGGTTTTACAGCAACTTCTGTCAGCCAGAGAGGAGTTTGATAAGAGGATCCATAATTACCCTTGGAAGAATTTCCTACCAAGGTCATTGACATAGAAACCAAGAAAGAAAGAAGGATAAATAAAAGAAACTTGAACTGTCTATTCTAATGAGAACTTTGTCTTTTGTGACCAATGAGTAAAGGGTAAACTTATGAACTTTGTAAGAATGTATAAAAAGCATGCAGGCTATAATAAAAACAGTTTGAAGCCTTCTGAAAATGGAGTGTGTTGTCTCAGTCTCAACTACGACACAGCTGCTACAGAATTAATTAATAACAATAATAATAATAATAGTAATAATAATGTTAGTTTCATCATAGCCAAGGGAACACTTACAACACAATTTCACACTAAGCCAATACAGGAATTATCACTAAAGAGCCCTGAAAACAAGCACCCAAAGAAACTGAGCTATACCAAAGCAGGATACACAGACCTGCCCACACAGGCACGGCCCAGTCAGAGCCGGTTCTACCCAAACTACCTCACACAAAGCTCTGGGAACCAAGGACCAAACTAAAATCTATTTGTGACTCAGTATCCCAAAAGGCACAGACAGATCTTCAGAAAAGCACAGACAGGTGTTACTTCACGATAAGTACTTCTAAAAGTACAGGAAATAACAGAATGTACTTTACAGAGGGACACAGAGCCAAACCTGCAAAAAAGGGCAAAGAGCACAGATAAGACCAGCTGCTCACACAGAAAAAAAGAGCTCTTGAGAATCTTTTTCCAAACCAGGCCGTTCACGTCAATCTAAGCACACAGCAGAAGTGAATGACACTACTTAGGCAAAAATAACAATCAAGACCGCAGCCCTATGACCGGCAGCTCTAACAGCCTGTGAAATGGATAACACTGCTTCGGAAAGCGCGGTCAGAGACGCTGAGCCCTCAAAGCTTCGCTGGCCCGGTCAGCACCTCATCGGGCCGGCTCCCGGCGGCTGCGGCCCCCCCGCCCCGCCTCGCCTCCCGCTCACCATGGCCTCCACATCGGCCCACGTCGTGTGCGCCGGGTCGGACACGAGGAAGGAGCGGGTGTCGCCGCGGCAGGTGACGCGCAGGGTGACCCGCGGCTCCATGGCGCGTTCCCGCGGGGCCGGGGCCGGCGGCGCCAGCCCTCCCGACAGGCACAACATGGCGGCCCGAGGGCGGCCCGCCCCGCGCCCGCTGCGCGCGGCTATTGGTGGAGCCGCCTGTCACTCATCCATCTGTCCGCTGTGATTGGTCGGGAGGTGGAGTCAGAGGGGTCGCGGAACAACAACAATAAACACAGCCGGGCGCGCGCGCGCGCACCGCGGCCACGCACGTCCGGCAACTGCGCCGCGGCGGCGCTTGTGCACTCCGGCATCACGTGGCGGCGGCGACGGCCAATCAGCTACCAACCGGTGCCAACCAGAACCAATCAGAGTCAAGCAGGCCAGCGCGGCCCCGCCCCGCCGAGGGGAAGGAGTCCGTCAGGGGGCGCTGTAGGGGCGCGTGCTGGCTCCGCTGCTCCGGATTGGCTGCGCGCGGCGGGGCGGGAAGGGCGCGAAACGCGGCGCGGGGAGCGCGGGGAGCGCTGAGGGGAGACGGGAACGGCAGTGAGGAGCGCTGAGGGGAGACGGGCGCGGCAGTGAGGAGCGCTGAGGGGAGACGGGAACGGCAGCGGGGAGCGCTGAGGGGAGACGGGAACGGCAGCGGAGAGCGCTGAGGGGAGACGGGCGCGGCACCACCATGGCCTTGCCCTGACCTAAGCGCACCGACGCTGGTGCTGCCCTGGCACTGAGCGCTCCAGCCGTGGCCTGACCGCCCTGGCACCGGCTCTGACCGCACCGACACCGCTGCTGCCCTGGCACTGAGCGCTCCAGCTCTGCCCTGACCGCCCTGGCACCGGCACCTGCACCGGCCTGGCACTGACTGCACCGACACCGGTTCCGACCTGGCTCTGACCGCCCCGGCCCTGCCCGCTCTCCTTCCGCCCGTGCCCGGTACGCTTCCCTGCAGGGCCGGTCCCCAGCGGTTTCTCTTTGTTTTCAGCGTTCGCTGTGGGCTCTCAGGCTCGGGTGGGTCCGCCCTGGCTCTGCTGCTTTCCCACCCAGCAATCCCCTCGCTCTCGCTGCTTTGTGTTTTTTTATGAATTTCACCTGAATAAACCTTTTCTGGGCGCTCCTTTGGGTATAAAGCTCGAGGGGTTTTAGCTGCAAACGTTCAGAGTGAGAATCCCTCTGTAAAGTATTAAGTAAAAACAATTTGATGCCATTCTGCAGATAGAGCAGAGCCGTGGGAGAGAGAGCATAGTCGTGGGAGGTAACAGAATTTTTTGCAGAAACAAAGCTGATAATGTGGTTTTTTTTTTTTCTGTAGACTATTTTTGGATGTGAAGGATGGACTTCTCAGTGATTACTATTGGACAAGTACAAAATGTGCTTGCAGCGATGCAGAAGAACTTGGAGTGCCCAATATGGTATGTCAGGGAATAATATCTGTATAGTTAATTTTTTGGAGGTGTGGTTCTTTATTCTCATTTCTTTGAAAGTGCTTTGTCAGTTCTATGGCTTACCAGAAAGCAAAGAGATTTGTGCTTAGAACTAAAAATATTGATATTTTGTAAGGTTCAAATGAGAAAGTGCAAGAAAAAACTTACATTTTGTTCTTATGTTCTATATTTTGCTTTTCTATTAAAACCTGAATGTGTCAGTCCTTTATTCAGTGAGGGGGAAAATACATTTGATTGGATTAGAGGATTGGTTGTAAAGGTGGGTGGGTTTTTGTCCCTTGTCTCTGAAAGGTGAATGAGGTCTGTAGTTCCTTAATGTTGCATTTAATATCTTGCATTTCTTTAATGCAAACAGATACTGAAATAGCAAAGGTTCTGGTTGAAGTCTATAACCTCTGTGCTCTTGCTTTTGTTTCCCTCTTTGTAGCCTGGATGTGGTGCAAGAGCCTGTTTCAACAAAATGTGATCACATATTCTGCAGGTAGGTTTGAAAACTTGCAAGTGCAATGCAGTTTTTAATTTCCATATATAATGATTTTGGGTTTATAATTTTTACTTCCATATATACCAGTTTTAATTCTGTTTCTTCAGTGCTCATCATGTGCGTATGCTTTGTTTTGGTAACTTCATCTGTAGCTACTTGAGGGGGGGAAAAGTCAGTTCTGTAGAAGAGAGAAATGCAAATTTAAAATGCATCAAAGGGGATTAATTAACTCACTGTAACCCCAGAACAAGAATGCACCCTCAATTCACTGAGTGGTGAATGTGCACAGTCAGTTTTAGGGACAATTATATCCTTCTCTTGTTACCCTCATAAGTGTTCTTCCTTTCTAGATTCTGCATGTTCAAACTTATCAACAAAAAGAAGAAAGGTGTGGTGGAGTGTCCTCTGTGTAAGACTGAAGTTACCAAGAGGTGAGGAAATCATCTTTGTGAGGGGCTGGAGATGAGGTGTTTGAGCTCTGAGGAAAGATTAACAATAGGCTTAAAATATATTAGCATAAGATATTTATTTATTTAATTATTACCATAATATATTTTTTATTTTATATTTATTTTTGTTCTGAAATACAGAAGAAAAGGGGTTTTTTAGTAAGCTGCCTATTCCTAAAGGAGTAAATTTAGTATCTTACATCAATGTGAGCTTTTTCCAGGTGAACACACCTCTCTCAACAAGTGTCTGTGCAAAATTGGTGTTTAATCCTGGCAACTGATTTCTCTCTACTAAACCCATATGAGAAAATGATCTGCTCACTTTTGTGATCATTTCAATTCCTATACTAATGATTCTTTGTTATTCCATGGCAACAATTTCTTCTTGTCTCATCTCCCACTTTGAAGTTTTACCCCTGTTCTTTTGTCTTAAAATAACTGAAGTGCTGATGTTATTTCAGAAGTCTGAAAGAAAATTCCAGATTTAAGCAACTCATTGAAGGACTGTTGGAAACTATCCATGCTTTTGAGCTTGACACTGGAGTGAAGTGTAAGTGTCGGGAATTTATGTCCCCAGTTTTTTTTTTTTAATAAGTTTTTGACATATCATGATTATTTATAAGGTATCCTGTTCTAAAATAATTAGAATTAGAACTAGAACTAGAATTAGATCTTGGTAGAATATCTATATAACCAAAATTGGTTGAGAAAATTAGTTTGGAGGATCAAGATCTTCATTATTACTTGAAGAGTGCTCAGAAAGAATAATCAGACTAGTAATTCAACAAATTTTCTTTTTGGATAAACATATTTTAGCTGTATATTCTGTAAGTGCACAGAGTCTAAAAAATCTATTTCATTCATATATCATGAGTCATACTCAGTGTAAAAATATATATTTTTTTTTACCTAATGACATGATTTAGTTTTAAAGAGTCATCACTTTCCTAAAACATCCACGGAAGCCACTGCTGCTGAGTCCCTGTGTAAAGAAACTTCTGTCATCCAAAGCAAGGGCTTCAGAAACAGGAGGAAAAGTGCTAAAGGAAATGGACAAGAAAACTTCACCTTGGTAATTGCTTTTCCCCATTTTATTTGTGTGGATTGTTTAAAAATGTATTTAGGAAGGTGTATATAGATAAAAGAATGAAGTAGGAGATTTTGGACTGATCTCAGATTGTTGTTTGATCTGAGTAATCTGCACAATCTATATATTTTTGTTTTCCTAACCTACTTGAGAAAGATGTTTGCACAAAATAACCTGAACTGACACACAATATTGCCATAATACAGTCTGTTCCTGAAAGCAGGATTGAAAGCTTGTTCCATCTGCTTGCTCCATGAGGCTGTCTAGGGTTTTTACCTTTTTGGTAAAAGGGTTTTTTACCTTTTTAGGGGCAAGATCACAACTATATCTTAGAATTCACAGGGCATTACCCAGCTTGGGGTATTTGCTGTGTGTGTGTCTGTCCATGGCATGTTTGTGTTTTCACCTGCTTAATGCAGAATAGAATATTAGACAATACAGAATGTAAGATCAAGCTGTTATGATTTGATCTGTTAAATGCATGATTCATTATTTCTATTGACACATTTCATTACTGCTGTCAACATTATAAATTAATTCTGTTGTGCATAGAAGCTACCAATGCATATGAATTAAGTATTTATATCAGCTCCCTGTTAAGATTTAAATAGCTATGAATTTATTTTGAATACCCCACTGTTGTAAATAACTATTCCTTTCTGTTTTCCTGTCAGCAGGAGGCTAGTGTGAATATTCAGCTTACAGATGCCAAAATGTGTCACCCAAGAAGCAAAACCCAGAAATCTGGTTCTCAAAAGGGTACTTACATAGAGTTTGGTAAGATCTGTTCTAAATCCACACTAATTGATCCTGTGTACAATGCTTGCAAAGTAATGAAAGGTGATTATGTTCAAAGTCTTTATAAACACTAATTTCTACTTAACAAAATTACAACAAAGAGACAAATTATGGACAATGCCAAGTTTGCAAATCAAAAGGGTTTTTTACATAATTATATAATGGCAAATAATGCTGCTGTAGTGAACCCTTAAACCTTGGTGTGCACAGCCCAGAGAAGGTATTTACAGATGTGCAAAAAATTACACCTAAAGGTAACCACTGCTTCCTGAAGAATACTAAACCTTGCCACAGTGCTTGAGATGAGGATGAAATCTGTTTGAGATATTAATATTTTTTGCTATCTATCCTAGCTTTTCAGAATTTTACTTTATCTGGTGTTGGCTGCTATGAGAAAAAAGACAAATGCCAAGCATGGCTTATTTTTATGCTGTTCCTTAAAGGAAGGAATTGAGTTTGTTTCCTCACATTTTTCCTTATTGGGTCTGCCAGGAGGCATTTGAATGTATTTCTCTGACTTCCAGCTCAAAATTCTAAATACTTGTAACTGTTTTGTGTAAAAATTTAGAAATTAGAAAGCAACTTTTAGGTGATTAACTCTTAGTTAACAGTCACTGTATTTAAACACAGTTTGATGCTGGAGCCATGTAGATAGTTTTACATACATGGAAATAATTAAAATTAGGTAAAATACTGGCAAGTCATCCTTCTCTGAATCATTCCAACCAGAGTAACAGATTATTTGTTTCCAGGCTCTGAATCATCTGAAGAGTTTTTTAAACAGGCAACCAAAACTGGGTAAGTAAAGGTGATTAAGGAATTCATTTTTTCTACAGACAGTAATTTAATATTCTCATTTCCTGTGTTCTGGTTTCTTAGCATAGGACTGATATAATTCTTAAGCAGACAAATGGTTTTCAACTTAAGAGGGCATTAGGGTAGAATGGGGAGCTGAATTCCAGGAGTTTGCCATATTTCATGCTTTAAAACTTATTTCTAAATGCTTTGTTGTGGACATAGATCTTCCATAGAAAAGCAGGCACTGTGCTTTAAAAAGTAAATACTAAAAAATTCAGGATTGCACAAGAGAATTTTTAAAGAAATGGCCTGAAACTCTGAAGAATTTCAATTGTGCAGCTTGACTTCTCCAGAAATTATTTCAGAGAGCAGAAAGGGAAAAACAAATACCATCTTCTATTCTGTCTGTTATGGTTTTATCTGTAATGAAAGTAAATTTCCTTTCCCAACAGGTTTGAAGACAAAGGAGCTGTTCAGATTTCTTCTCAAGCAAGGCTGGAAGAACTTGAGAGTGCTGAGAAAGGGAATGAAAATTCTTGTAGTGCACAGCCTGACAAGCTGGGTGCCAAAGAAATAACACTGCCAGATATCACAGGTGTGTTATTTTGGTGACAAAGGTGATTATGCTTGAAATAGACCACAAGTTAACATTTTTATTTCACATGATTTTTTACACAAAATTGTTTGCAGTCTTGTATAATGAAGTTCTGTTAATGCCTACAGCTAATACAAGACTGTTCCTGTAGCCTAGATACAAAATGTGGATGTTTGTATACACAGGAACAGAAAGGAAGCAAAAATACAAAACTTAATCTATTCTATGTGAGTCATTACAGATGAAAAAGCACTGGCTAGTAATTGATGTAAAAATTTAGAACATGTAATGTGATCTTTCTGCCTTTCTCTAGAGGGAGATTTGTGCAGTGTAATATTCTGGTTAGAAGAATTTAGAAGAACATGTAATATGCTCTGTCTTTCTCTAGAGGAAAATTTGTGCAGTGTAATATTCTGGTTAGGGAGGAAATAAGAGCAGGTTTTTTTTAAACAAAGTAGCCATTAAGCTTGTTCTCGTGCTGGTGTGTGTAAAATAGAGGTTAATAATTTATTATCCCTATAAATATGACAGGTGAAGGGGATTTCTCCAAGGAATGTTTGAGCAAGAAGAGCACTCAGAGCATCACTGAATGTGCCAAACCTGACCAAGTGAATGTGACTGGATGCCAGAGCTCTCCTTTGGATGTTCTTGCTGTGGAGCTGCTCCCAGAGCAGTGTGACAGAGCAGGGGATGCCAGTCCCACCCTGAATGGGGACACAGCATTCTCCAAGGACACAGAAGAAATGGAGGAACAGCAAAGCCAGCACAACAGTGAACACCAAGAGTCAGATTTAGATGATGGCTCAGAGAACAGGCTGGATAAAAGTAGGGAAATGGATACTGATGCACAAAGTGTGGAAGCTGCAGAGGGATATGAGCCTGAGAATGAATCTTCCCAGGACAAAGAACTTCCTCAGGCAGAGCCCCCTCACTCTGCCACCCTGAATAAAGTCTCCAAGAAGAGACTGAAGCAGAGCATTCAGAAAGTCAACGAATGGTTTTCCAAAAGCAATGAGATTCTGTCTTCTGGTTCTTCAGTGGATGAATCTGCTGCATCAGCTGATGTCTCAGGTGAAGGAGATCTGTGTTTATCAGATAAAGAGTCCTGTATTTCAGGAAGGACTGACCCTATGGCAGATTCCATGGGAGCTGCAGCAGTGGAAGGAAAAAAGAGGTGGTCAAAACAAACAGCAGAAGACATTAAAGACAAAATATTTGGCAAAACATACAAGAGAGGGAGGAAGTCAAACCCCCCTTCTACCTTGAGAGACATTTTGCCTGCTAGACAAAAGGAAGATGTGGCTGCTGCTCAGTGCCTGAAGGATTCCAGCAAAGACAGACTCAAACGAAAGAGGAAGAGTGCCTGCCTGCAACCTGAGGATTTCATCAAGAAAAAAGACACAGAAAAGGGAGATGGGGGCCCTCAAAGTGTTAATGGGGGCCTTGGAGAGGCTGAAGAGAAAAGCTGTGATGAGACTGTTGCTGTTAATGAGAGTCACCTCTCTCAGAATAGAGCAAATAATACATCAACAGAGCCTGAGGAGGGAGGAGAGTCCACATGGAAGAAAGCTGCTGAGAAGGTCCCTGCCAAGCACTGTGATGGGGAACCAGAAATGTATAACTGTGACCAGAAAAGCACCAAAAAGAGAAATTCTGCAGCAAAAAGATGCAGGCATTCTAGCAGAACCATGTGTGCTCTGCAGTTGGTGGTGGACAGAGACTCTGATTTCCCTGACCCAGCTGAGCCACAGATTGACAGCTACCCCAGCAGTGGAGAGCCCAGGAAAGCTGAGCCTGAGCAAAACCCAGTGAGGCGCAGCAGGAGGCTTCAGTTACTCTCTGAGGAAATGACAAAAGAAACAAGAAAAAGAGTAAAAAAGAGTAAAAAGAGAAATAGCAGTGATCATGGAAGGTCTGTCTCTGGAGAGCAGAGGAGTGTGGCAGCTCACTCTGCTGAGTGCAAAGAGCTGAGTGAGCCTCAGGATGAGTTGAGTTCCAGGCCAGTCACTCATTTGGAGGGAGGTGATCTGCAAGCAAATGAAGTGCAGGTTAATCTAAAGAATTTATCTGACACTGCAGAAACTGGAAAGAGTCTGTTCAGTCCTTCATGTCTGCCTTCAAACTGTGGTTCCACTGTGCCCGATACAGGTTCTCAAGACAGTAGAATACTTGGTAGCCCCCTCCTCCTACAAGTTCCTTCAGTGTGTGCTGGGCAAACTGCTTCTCCCCAGACTGAGGAGGTGACTGAATCACCTCCTGCTTCTCCTCCACAATGTGGGCACGATTCACAAAATGCTCCAGGGGATTTCAAAGCTGAGAAGTTGCCAATGGCTAAAAATGTTTTGGAATTGAGTAAGGAAGCTGAAGACAGTGACCTGGACACACAATATCTGAGGAACATATTCAGGCATTCCAAGCGCTCCTCCTTCTGCCTTTTTCAGACTCGTGCCGTGGCAGATCCTCCTTCTGAAACCTTCAATCTATCATGTGCTGCTCAGGGAGAAAATAAAGCTAGCAAACAATTACAACCAGAAAGCTTGCAAGAGGAGAAAGCTGATCAAAACTTGAGCAGGGTTTCTGAGAAAGATGAAGAGAAAGAGAAGTTTAAGACCTGTGAGTCTGCACGTGTTGATCCTGTGCCTTGCTTTGCTGTCAGTAGGGATGACATTTCACAGGCTGCAGAGGAAGGGACTCTGACACCAGCAGGAGCAGAGACTGCTCAGGCTGAGCACAAAAATGGATTGCTGCAAGAAGAGCAGGGCAGTGAAAAGCCAGTGTCAGATGAGACAGGGACAGAAAGTGATTTGGGACAAAATCCCATTGAAAGTGATGGAAGCCAGAGTGATCAGAGTAACACAGAGGAGCATGAGTCCAGCCAAAATGATTTACACACAGGCCAGGCAAACAGCTTCAGTTCAGAAAGCAATCAGGCAGGAAAGACTGAAGTGGTTGATTGCACAGAACCAATTCTACAGTTTCAATCCACATCAACGATTTCTTCTGCAACTTGTCAGCAAAGCCCTGCTGAACTCAGCTGTGAAGTCACTAGGACAAAAAGTAGCAGAAGAGGAAGAAAATGTGTAAAGGGGAATGAAGAAGAAGCAGCCCAAACTGTTAGCACAGCTGCAGAGGCTCTGGAAGAACCTCTTGGGGAGAGTTGTGGCCTTACAGGTTTGTCTGAAACCCCTGATGCCTTGCTGTGCTCTGATACTGACATTGAGGAGAACACCAGCTTGTGTGAGACTGATAGGAAAGAGCAATCTGCAGTGTTTGTGAAAAGTGACAGTGCAGAACTGCAGAGCAGAAATTCAGATTCCAAACCAAGACCTCGAGGTCCTCGAAAGCCTCGAAGGCGAGTGCAGAAATTGCCATCTTCAGATGAAGAGTCCTGTGAGGATGAGGAGTTACCCTGCTTCAGGACATTGATCTTCAGCAAATCAGCAAGCACACCTTTGCAGGCTGATAAACAAATGGCACCTGAGGTGGAGTCTGCAGTGGCAGAGTGCCCAGGGAGCCCCAGTGTGAGTAATGATGGCAATGTTCTGCAGAAAGTGCCAGAAGCTTCCCTGAGTCACGTGTGTGCTTCACCAAGCCAGGAGTCAGAATGCTCTGTCAACTTATTTTCTTCCCAGTCCAACATGTCTGAGGAGTCACTTAATGGAGCACAAGAACTGAACAAACATTTGCCACAAGCTCAGGTGTCCAAACAAATGAGCAGTGTAAATGACAGTAAAGAAACTTCTGAGAATTCTGGTGGAGGGCTGAAGGAAACCAAATATGAAAGCCAAGAAGACCCAGACATGGGAGCAAACCTAGGTACAAACAGGATTTTTCTCTTTGCAGCTTTGTTTATAATGTACTTACAGCAAGGTTTTTGGTGTGTGCATGGAAACTTTGTTCTGTATTAAGAACAGAACTCTTCTAGAAGAATGTATCAGTCTTAAACAAAAACCCCTCAGTGGTTTATTTCCTAAAAATTATGTTCTTCCAGTGCTCTTTGTTCAGAGCACAAATGAACAGACTGTCTGATGGGAATTCATGTTTGAGGGAATTGCTGGTTCTCTTACTGCAATGGGATACTTCCATTGTCAGCCAAATTTCCCAGCCTATCCAGGCTTTTTCCCCAGATGAAATGTTTGTTGAAATTGGCTGTAGAATTTTGTAGTGAATATTTTGCCTTTTTTATGGCCTTTGTAAATGTTTAGGGCTCTTTCATCCCTGTTGAAAGAGAATTCTGTTGAAACACTGAATTCTGTTTACTTTGTCATGTTTGTGACATGGTATTCTTTGAAATATTCACTTAAAAGAAATCTGTCCTAACTTCAACATTTTCAAAACTTGTCACTTTAGTGTTACAATTTTTAGTTCTCTAAAACTTCCACATGCTAAGAAATTATGGATAATGTTGTTGTTTTGTTTGGTGGAGTTTTTTCTTTAACTCAGAGGGTTTTTTTTCTACTTTCTTCAAGGTGAAGGATGTGGGTCTGACAGTGAAATAAGTATTGTAGAAGATTCCTGTGGAGCATTCTCTCAGGGTGAAATCCTCACCACACAGGTGAGTGCTTCATGCCCTGAGTGGAGGAGCAGCCTGCATTCCAGGAGATAAGCAAGCTGTGAAGTCAATACAGTGGAAAATTCCTTTCATCATAATTCTTTATCACTAAATTACTTCCAAAAGCATAATTAATGAGGAACTGCAGAGCTGCTTCTGTGCCATTATTTGTCCAACTTTTCCTCCCTTGGTGACCTTACACTGCAATGGCCACAGCTTATTATATTATATTGGTTACAGAACTTAATTATGGGAGATGCTAATTAATGCATCTCCACACTTGGCCAACGCTGCAAATGTCACCTCCCCATATTTAAAAACTTTAATGATAAGAATATATAAGAATTTGGTGATAAGAAGTAGATTTATTACAACATGATATTTAAAATCAGGGAGACTCTTCTTCCTTGTGTAAAGATTAAATCAAATAATTCCATATTAGATATTATAGGTACAAGTCCCAGCAGGCAGTGTCTGATGAAAGGTGTGTCTGACAGTGAATTTTTTGTCTGCTGTTAAAATCCTGTGGCCTGACTTTATGTATTGGGTGATTTATGATTTGGGCTGGGGGTACTGATAAAAGTAGAGAAATCAAATTGAGGGTTAGGGGGTTGGAGTTTCTTGTTTTGCTTTGGGGTTTTTCTTTGTCCTATGTGACTTTAAGGTAAGTCTTATGGCAACTCTTTCTTCAGTATTTTCAGCCCTATGGGCTTTATGTATGTCAAAAAAAAGTGAATTTAATTTTTGTGCTCTATGGATGTATTGGGTGATTTGGTCTTGGGGTTCAGATGAGGGTTAGGGGCTTGGGGTTTTTGTTTTGCTTTGGTGTTTTCCTTTGTCCTGTGTGACTTCAAGATAAGTCTTGTGCCAACTCTCTCTCTTCCTATGGGCTTTCTGTATGTTCAAAAAAATGAATTTAATTTTTGTGCTCTATGAGTTTACTGGGTGATTTGGTCTTGGGGTTCAGATGAGGGTTAGAGGCTTGGGGTTTCTTGTTTTGCTTTGGGGTTTTTCTTTGTCCTATGTGACTTTAAGATAAGTCTTAAGGCAACTCTGTCTTCAGCATTTTCAGCCCTATGGGCTTTATGTAAGTCCAAAAAAAGTGAATTTAATTTTTGTGCTTTAGAGGTGTATTGGGGGATTTGGGCTTGGAGTTCAATTGAGGGTTAGGGGCTTGGGGTTTTGCTTTGGGTTTTCCTTTGTCCTGTGTGACTTTTAAGATAAGTCTTATACCAACTCTTTCTTCAATATTTTCAGCCCTATGGGCTTTATGTACGTCCAAAAAAACTGAATTTAATTTTTGTGCTCTATGGGTTTATTGGGTGATTTGGTCTGGAGGTTCAGCTGAGGGTTAGGGGCTTGGGGTTTCTTGTTTTGCTTTGGGGTTTTTCTTTGTCCTATGTGACTTCAGGATAAGTCTTATGCCAACTCTCTCTCCAGCATTTTCAGCCCTATGGGCTTTATGTACATCCAAAAAACATTGAATTTAATTTTTGTGCTTTATGGATGTGCTGGGGAATTTGGGCTTGGGGTTCAGTTGAGGGTTAGGGGCTTGGGGTTTTTTTTTGGTTTGCTTTGGGGTTTTCCTTTGTCCTGTGTGACTTTAAGATAAGTTTTATGCCAACTCTCTCTTCAGCATTTTCAGCCCTATGGCATCCAAAACAATTTAATTTAATTTTTGTGCTTTATGGATGTATTGGGGAATTTGGGCTGGGGGTTCAGATGAGGGTTAGGGGCTTGGGATTTTTGTTTTGCTTTGGGGTTTTTCTTTGTCCTTTGGTCTATGCCAACTCTCTCTTCAGCATTTTCAGCCCTGTGGGCTTTATGTATGTCAAAAAAAAAAAGTGAATTTAATTTTTGTGCTTTGTGGGTGCTTCTCCTGTTTACAGCATCACTGAAATGTGAAGCTGGCAGGACACTGCTCCTCCTGTAGCCTCATGGATGGAGATGCTGGGATGGATTAATGGCATGGAGGTTGGGATTTGGGTTTGTGGGGATGGTTTTGGGTTTTCTCTTTGCTTGGGAGTTTTTATGGGTTCAGTAACAAAGAGGCTCCGCATGGTGCCAGTGCTGGAGCTACAAATGGAATATTCGGTTCTGTGCAAATTGCTTCATCATCTAAAGGGTTTGGGTTTTTATAAAGGTCTTTTGAAACTCTTTGAGCTATTCTTGTGCTGCCTATGGCATGGTTTTGATCATGTAATTTTTGAGGAGGAACATAAGGAAGAATATTATGAAATGGTTTAGTCCTTTAAATTATCTTTGGAGCTTTTAGTAACTGTGGAAAGTGAAGACTCAATTTAGAATTTAATAATGAACATCATGGATTGAGCTACTAATGGAGTTTGGACAAAATTACTTTCAAATAAATTTGTGCAGGAATTGTGTTGTTTTCTGATTGATTAAGCTCTGAGGCATCTAAACTGAAATAACATGACTGGCAAAGTGAGTGTGTGGTTGTTTGGGTGGGTTTGCTTCTGATTTTGGATGTGTGCACTATTTATTACAGTAAAAGCACCACTGTCACCTTTACAACATGTGACAAAACCTTAATTCAAAACCATTTTGCTCTTTCTAATTTTCAAGTGTTTGTTAAAGAAATGAACCCTGAGTTTGCTTATGTTGGCATTCTTGTTCTCCTTTGCAGCAAAAGAATGCAATGCAAAATAGCCTGAAAAAACTTCAGCAAGAGATGGCTGCACTTGAAGCAGTGCTAAAGCAGAATGGGAGCCAGAGCTGTGAAGTTTTACCTGTCCAGAGGGAGCTGCCCCATTCCAGTACTGAAGGAGCATCTGAAATGGAACAAACAAGACCAGAAAACACCAGGTCATTTATTTTGCTTGGAGTTTTGGGGAGTTTTTTATGTTTATTTCTAAATTTTTTATTTTTATAAAAATCTTAATTATCCCTGAGCTTCTAGGAAATTACAATAATTTCACTGCTGCTACATTTTTCTGATGCTTAAAAGAGTGAAAAGGTATTAAAATCAATTTCTCTCTCTCAAGATCTCCAGAATTGCTGCTTTCAGCTTCTAAATCCTCTTTAAGGAAGAGATCAGATCTGGAGAAAGGCCCTGAGTGTGACAGTGCTCTACAGAACAAAACTCCCTCAGAAAAGACAAAACCTGTGCAGGAACACAGGCAGGGCCAGCTTGAAGCAGGTAACACTGAAGAGAATTTTTGATTTCTGGTGGTTTTCTCCTGTTCTTTTCATGTTTTTATATATCAGCAAGATACAATTTTTTCCTGTAAATCCATTATTTTAATTTATATATTCCTGATCATTTTAAAAAGGTGTTGCTACTTTGCTAGCCCAGCTGTGTGGCTGCCCACCAAATAGGGTGTGACAGCTTTTTGACAGCAATAAGAGTTTTTCTGCCTCACTTCTAAATTCAGACAATTTGACAAATATGCTACTCAAAGTTCCAGGTGTATGCTACTCAAATTTCCAGGTATTTTAGTGTCTTGCCTATAGATCAGGAAAAAGTAATGTTGAAGGCAAAGATGAAGTAATAAACACAAAAGGGAGTAATAAACACAAAGAAGTAATAACACAAAAGGGGAGCAAGTATCTGCAGAATTTAAACCTAAACCAGCAACAACTTTCTGCCATGATTATAAGAAAAATCCAGTTTTCTCAAGGAGTAATTTCTTTTTTCCTTCAGAAAATGCAGAGGAGCAGAATTGTGGGACTGGACAAAACAGTGCATCAGTCTCATCAGATCTTTTTGGGAATGTGACCCAGAGTTCAGATAATTCTTCCTCCTCTGCAATGCTTTTTATCCCTCAAACTGCAGAAGCCACAGCTGGGCCTGTTGTGGCTCAGAGCACTGAGAAAAGCTCTGGGCCAGAACACAAATTAAAAAAAAGTGAATGTTTTCCTGTACCTGTTCTGCACAATTCAACTGGGAAAGAAAATGCTCCAAATCCAGTGGGGACCAAGAGGAAAGAAATGTCAATTGTGGTCTCAGGTCTAAATCACAGTGAGCATGTAAGTAGAGTTCAGAATTTGAAGATCACTAGTTAATAATTGCTGATTAGCACTATAATCCTCAATAGAGAGATCTCTAAGTGTAATAAAAATAATCTTGCAGGAATTGCAGCCAAACTTGATCACTCCTAAAGCTGTGAGGATGCTGCCCGGAATGGCACTGTTAAACTTAGTGAAATTTGAATTTTTTGAACAATTCCTAATGTCTGGGGGGGAAAAAACGCAGGATTGCAAAGCCTTGGGGCTGGGGAGGGGCTGTGGGTGTTTGGTCCAGTCAGTGTTCCCAGATGATGCAGTTTCACCCAATTTCTGATCCATAGGGAGCATTCTGTAAATAGGAATTCTGAGTTGCTAATAAACCTGTTTGTGCACTCAGTTTCCAGAAGGATTTGGCTTTTGGGTTATAAAACACACACCAAGAGCTCTGCATTTCTTTAGTCTGTTGAATGGTGCCAAAACTAAATGTACTTTCTGTGTGCCAGCACATAAAATGTTACTTTAAAGTAACTATCCTATTACATTGTGCTCCTAAAAACTGGGGCTGTTGAGGGTGTTAAAACTGTTGCTAACTTTTATTTTCTTAACTACTTTTCAGTTGGTGGTCCAGAAGTTTGTGAAGAAAACTCAGAGCACTTTATCTAATCACATAACTGAAGGAACAACCCATGTCATAATGAAAACAGGTTTGTTGGGAGCTGGGGGACCAAATCCTCTATTGACAGAAAATATAGAATTTTACCTTCAGTTTAAACACCAAGCAGACAGGTCAGCAATAAATTTAATAAGTTTGAGGAAAAGGTATTGATTGTTTTCTCTACTGCAAGTTTTTGTTTAAGCCTGTGAGTTTTCTCATTCTGTTTCAGAGGAAAAGTGTGAGGGCATGTTTTCCCTTGTGTAATTCCAAGTTAATATTGCTTGCTATTTGTTTCTTCAGCTGTTTGCTCTTAATGTTCAGGTGTTGACAGCACACTAGTGTGAAGTAGTTCAGAACCAACCAAAAAGAAACAAAGATAATTCCCAAAGAAATCCTCCTTTTTCTGGCCTCTTATCTTTATTGAATAATTTTTTAAAGGGCTCACAATTGGTACATGAGATTAATTTCTGCTCATTTCCTTCAGTTTAGTAACATCATCAACATCTGAACCTTTGTACAGTTGTGATATTTTGCTGCTGCACTTAGCAAAAAGTGTTTGTTTTTACATACAGATACCTTGAGCTGTGTTTTTCTGGTAATGGCTAAAAGAGGTTTTACTGTTGTTTGGCAGAACTAAAAGGGGTTTTACTGTTGTTTGGCAGAACTAAAAGAGGTTTTACTGTTGTTTGGCAGAACTAAAAGAGGTTTTACTGTTGTTTGGCAGAACTAAAAGGGGTTTTACTGTTGTTTGGCAAAACTGAAAGGGGTTTTACTGTTGTTTGGCAGAACTAAAAGAGGTTTTACTGTTGTTTGGCAAAACTAAAAGAGGTTTTACTGTTGTTTGGCAAAACTGAAAGGGGTTTTACTGTTGTTTGGCAGAACTAAAAGAGGTTTTACTGTTGTTTGGCAGAACTAAAAGAGGTTTTACTGTTGTTTTTCCTGCAGATGAGGAGCTGGTGTGTGAACGGACCCTGAAGTATTTCCTGGGCATTGCAGGAGGAAAGTGGGTGGTTGGTTATCAGTGTAGGTATCCCTGCTGCTGGAGATCTTTGCCCTTCTGCCATGAATGCAGTCTTCACTTGTTGCACTAAAGAAAAAGGATTTCTTCATGCCTTGCCATCTGATGTTTTGCAGTATTTCTTCTAAATACTTAAAAAGAAATTAAAATTAAGAAACACGAGCAGCAATATCAAGCTTCTTCCCCTTGTGGATTACTTACTCTTACTGTTTCTGCTCCCCACTGTGGCAAAAGCCTTTTGTCCCTCTTAATTTAAATCTTTGTGATCCATGGCATCAATTAGTGTAAAATTAGTATTATTTCTAAATGGTAAAAACATTCTTTAAATATTTACTTTATACTGTATTCCTTTAGTAGAAATACTTTCAATTTAATGTAGCAATGAAGTCAGAGTACTGATAGTGGAAAAACCATTCTGCTGGATAAAATGACTTTTCTTCTTCTGATCTTTTTATTTAGGGATAATTCAGTCTTTTAAAGCAGGAAGAGTACTGGATGAGGTAAGGTCTTTTATCTTGAGTGAAATGTCAAATGGTTAAGAAATGCTGTTACATGATGGGCTTAGGAGTTTATTTGTGTTGTATAGACAGATATTGTCTAAATATTTAATATGGAATTTTATCTTTAAAACCTGGGGTTCTGGACTTATGAGTTTATTTTATTGTACAGTTAGATACTGTCTAAATATTTAATATGGAATTTTAGCTCTGAAACCTGGGGTTCTAGTTTTACCAAATCCACACTTAGGCCCTCTGCATACTTTGGTGTTGAAGACACAATGAGTTCCTATTATTTTTAACATGTTATAGACATATTTTTATGCATGTTCCTACTGATATTAATAGATTATAGCATTAAGCAAAGAATAGATCTTTTGCTTTAGGAAATAATGTTATATACAGATAATTTCTATCAAGTAAGACTGTACTGATAGACACAGCCTTGGAGTGTTCTTCTTCTTTTATTTACCATACAGTTTGAGTATAATTTGTTTATTTAAAAATTGCCTGATGCTGCAGGGGTTTCATACTCCAGCATTTCTCTTGCAAAGCCTTTTCATTCATATTGTGAACACAGTCATGGATTTTCAGTTCTGAAATCTGACACCTTCCCATTTTGAAGCAGAACTCTGACAGGAAAGTGTTCTCAGTCTCTTCACTTCTGATTCCTTGCTTTTGTTGTGATCCAGGAGAACTTTGAAGTCAGAGGAGATGTAATCAATGGGAGGAACCATCAAGGTCCCAAGAGGGCCAGACAGGCCCTGACTGAAAAGGTACAAAGCACATCAGGGATCAAATTCTGTCCTGGCTGAGTTTCTGGAACTTCTCCCAGTCTCTCTGTACACAGAGTTGCACAAATGAATCATTTTTATCCATGAAGGGGGAGCTCTGTCAGCAGCAGGGCAGATATTCTGTAGGGGCTCACTAAGCTTGGAGTGTCTTTTTATAACAGAGAGTTTGGTCTTTAATATTCTTTTAGTTTTATTCTTAAATTCTTTTGGTTGGTAGGTTACAAAAAGCTTTGTGGAATAGTCACAACTTGATAGCAAGCCCTGCAAGTGCAATGAAAACAGCAAATAAATTTAAAAAAACAGCATATAAAGCATTGCTCTTTAAAAACCCCCTGTGAACTCTAACATGTTCCTTGCTTTTCAGATCTTTAAAGACTTTGAGATCTGTTGCTGTGGACCCTTCACTGACATGACTACAGGTGTGTCATTGGATGAATGGTCAACATAAAAAATATTTGGAGGGACACTGTGCCTTCACCAGAATTGTACATTTCTGCATAATTTTTACCTCTTTTCCTCTGTAAATCTTAAAATACCTACAAGGGGTAAGGTGTAGATAAATAATTTTATCCAGTTCTAGCTCCAAATGGAGTGGAAATTTTGTTCTCATCTATTTGGATGTCCTCAGACAACCCCTGGCAATTCTGCTGCATTTCAAACTAAGCCTTTTATCTCTGGATAAATTATCTAGGAAAAGCATTAATGTCATGCTGTCTGGTAATTGTTTTTGATGCTCTTGATCTCTCATATTTGAGCATTTTTTCTTCTGTCTTAGTAAACAGTTCCTAAGTATCCTTTTCCCAGCAGTTGACACATCCTTATTGTAGCCTCCTGTCTATAGGAGCCAGTGTTAAAAGTGAAACATTTTAACAAAGCTAGAAGTTAATATAAAAAGCAAAAGCTGTTCAGCACAGCTTCATTTTTTATTTTTGAAATTTAATGAACTATGTTACAAGTTTTTGAAAATTTAATTCTTTTTCTACTTCAAATATCTGCACTTGACTTCCCATTTTTTGTGGCTTATTCAGCAGATACTTTCTGATTTATCCAATATAACTTTATTTTTGACTGGATGAAATATACTCGCATTTCTTGACATTTACAGTAATTGCTGCAAAGGAGGCAGTGCTTTCACCTGATGCAGTGATCCTCAATTTTGGCTCTTGTACTTGAGAGATTTAATCTTCTTCACTACCAATTCAACAAATTGGTGCAAATTAAGTACTTTGGCTACTTCTGTTAATGAGAGATAATGACAGTTCAAACTTCTCATTTTTAATTTCCATTTCACCTCTTGCATCCTTATGAGAAGAGGAAATAAACTGTGATTTTTTTCAGGGTTTGGTTTTGTGCAGACCTGTCTGGGGGGTGAGGGAGGGGGGAGTTGATGTTCCCTAGCAGGTTTTGAAGTGAAAAGATTTTGTTTTCTACTCCCATCTCCTTCAGATGATGGTGGTTTGTGAATTGGAACAAACACTTAGGGAATAGTGTCAGCTCCAATGTGATAGAAAACACTGAAGTGACTTGTCACTGACACATTTTCTGAAAAATCCCTTGGCCAGGATTTCTTCTCCTGGGAAGCTGAGAAGCCTCAGAGAAAAATAAAAACAATAATTATCTGATTGCTTCTCCTGTGTTTTGCTGCTTTGGAATGTGATTTGGAGATTGTTTGATTAGTTTCATATGAATTGTTTGTAATTAATGACCAATCACTGTCAGGCTGTGTCAGGACTCTGGAAGGAGTCATGAATTTTCATTATCATTCTTTGTTGCTTCCTGTCTTTAATTTTTCTCTATTCTTTAGTATAGTTTAATATAGCATAATATAATATAATATAAATATAATATAATATAGTATAATATAATATAATGTACTATAATAAAATGTACTATAATATAATGTACTATAATAAAATATAATATAATTATAATATAATTATAATATATAATATAATATATAATGTTATTGTAATATATAATATTAATAATATAATAATAATATATAGTAATATACATAATAAATATTATTATAGTATAGTATATTATAGTATAGTATATTTATAGTATAGTATATTTATAGTATAATATAATATAATATAGTAGTATAGTATAATATAGTATAATACAGTATATAGTATAATATAATATAATATAGTATAATATGATTATTATATTATATTGCATTATATATAATATATTATATTATATATAATGTTTAATATATGTTATATGATATATAATATTTAATACATAATATATTATATAACATTTAATAAAATATATAATGTGTAACATAATATTTAATATTATGTCAATAATTATATAATATAATTATATCATGTGTAGTATAATATATATAATTATATAATGTGTAGTATAATATTTAATATCAAATTATATGTAATATAATACTACAGTTATATAATACTATAATTAATATAGTATAATATGTAATATAATATTTAGCCTTCTAAGAACATGGAGTCAGATTCTCATCTCTCCCCTCCTCGGGGTTATCTGCAAATTCCACAGTGACTGAACTGATTTCATCTGATTTCTTCAGAGCATCTGGAGTGGATGGTGGAGCTGTGTGGTGCCTCTGTGGTGAAGCAGCCTGACCAGTTCACAGCCACAGCAGTAAGTGCTGAGGAGCTTTTACCCTCCCACATTCACAGAGCTGCCAGCACAGCCTGGCAGTGCCCCTTGGCTCCAGGCCTGCCCAGCCTGCACTGAAGACAGGCTCCTTTGTGGCAGAGACATGATTGGTGTTGGCCACATCATTAATTTGTCCTGAAATTAGCACTGAGCCTTCCCTTTCCAGCTCCAAAAGCCTTTTAGTGACTGAGTGTAGTCACAGAATTTCTGGGGAGAAATTACAGAAGAATCTTGGGAACTAATGTCCTTCTCCCTCTACTTAAATTCCTCTCTGAAGTGAAACTTGAAATTAGTTAATGCTCTCTATAAATAAATATACAATTATATAAGAACAGACAACAACAGCATTTTTATTCTTTATCTTAAAATCCTAGAGTTCTACTGCAGTTGTGGTTGTGCAGCCAGATGCTTGGGAGGAAAACACGGATTATGGAGGTAAAACAACATTTTTTGAGCTGCTTTCTGGTACACATCAAGTGTCTTAATCACACCTCTCCTTTAAATAGCTAAATATCAGAGGGTTGTAGAGAAATCAAAACTCTATTAATGGAGATGGAAGTAGGTCTTGTAAGAAAAATCTAGAAGGGCAAATAATATTGTTTCAAGGAGCGGCAATAGTTTTAAGAGCTGCTCTGGCAGCTGTTGCCTCAGTTGTCCTCTGTATCATCAGCTTTACAGAAACTTTTCTAATTTAGTCGTTTTTAAAAGGTAGGGAAGGGTGTCCTTGGAGCACCAGTAAGATCTAGGAGAGAGCCTCAGATGGAACAAGATTCCCTTGGTCTGAAAAGGTCATGTTAAAAAGCCTTAACAGATGTAGTTTTGCATTTTTTTTCCTTTAAGCAAAATGCTCAGGAGAAGCCATGAGGCTTTGAAAGTGCAAGTGGGGTTCTGGGAGGAGTGGGAGCTGGTTAGGATACACTGAGGTCCAACAAAACAGTGGAGCAGGATGATGATTTAAAAAACCCAGCTGTTTCCATGGCACTGGAAAAAAGAGAAAATAAAAAGATCCTGCAATGAGGGGGAACAGTCTGAGAACACTTCAGTAATTTTCTGTTGCTTCTCTTAATGAGACTCATTGCTTGTCACACACTCAGTGTGTCTGGGGGCAGACAGGAAGCAAAGCTCTGTCACTGAGATCCTAAATGAAAAGATAACAACTCCATTCTTTATTTTTAGTGTTTATGTTGTGGTGTTCACTGCTTCCAGCTCTGCTCCTGGAGCCAGCATTACCTGCCTTGAAAGGCACTCTCACATCTCTGCTTTTATAGCAAGCTTTGAAAAAGCAAACAGCTTATTCTCTGTTAGAATTTATAAGGTTAGAGGATTTTTAAGAAATAGTTAAAAAAAGGTATGTAGGCTTTAGATTAGAGTTTTGTTAGCATTGCAGAAAAGTTTTTTATGTAAGTAGAAAAGTTTTTTAAGTAGTAGACGTGACAAACAACAAGCTTTTGTAGAATTGGTTTTAAGATAGTAATAAGGTTATTTAATGTATATTTTTAGAAGATTAACATGAATAGAATTCTGTTCTTTGTCTTTTATGAACTAGTTTTTGTTTTAGTTACTATTATGTATGCTTTATAAGATTAGATAGAATGCTTATTAATATGTGTTTTTTGTGTGTGATTAGCTGAAAAATGTAGACTGAGATGATTTTATGTATTGCTGTATGAGCTTTCTTAAGAGAGACATTTTTAGAGTAGATCAGTGAGTTGTTATGTTTCTATTTTGTATTTTGAGACTAATGTGCTAGAAATAAAAGTAAAAATCTCTTCACTAGTTTAGTTACAATGTTGTCTATATTTCAACAATTCTCAAAGCCATCAGTGGCCTCACCTTCAGCTTGTTTGGAGCTCTTGCTAACAGCTGCATCATTTATTTCTGTGTCTTTGTCTTGCAGCAATCCAGCAGCAGAGCAACGTTGCCCTGGTAACTCGGGAGTGGGTCCTGGACAGCGTGGCTTGCTACCAGTGCCAGGAGCTGAGAGCTTACCTCGTGTCCTGAGGGTGAACAGCAGCTCTTAATAATCATAAAATGACTAAAATATTACCCTCCAGAAGGTGCAATTACCCACTGTTCTTTAAAGCTTTACATTAGCTTAAAGGGCTGTGAGATTGTAAATGTTAAACCAATTTTAAAAGTTAGAGAATGTAGTGTGTGGCCTCCTCAGAGAAATGTGATATATTGTTTGCCACTGCAGCCAGTTTCTGTGTAAATACTTGGGGACAGTCATTTCCTCAAAAGAGGAATATTGGGCTCAGGGCTTCCATTAAAACATACCTGCACTCTGGAATAACCTCCACATTTTCATTCTGCTTAAATGCAAACCCTGGATGCTATTTTGTGATTAATAATGAAACACCTTGGCCATTCATTGATTATGGTTGTGTTGAAAACTCTACAAACAGCTTTCCTGTTGTGCATCACAGTGCCAGAAACCTAACCAGAAACACAGGTATGGGCCCCAGAAATGCAATGATTGAATCCAAACAGAAAGGAAGGTTTAAAACCAAGCTTAAAATTTAGTACCAGTGCTGTCAGGCTGATTTCTGGACAGTATATGTGGCACTGTGAAAGGATAATGAATAGATGCATTTTAGTATCCTGGTGACCCATGATAAGGGCAAAAATATCTGCTTCTAATAGTCCCTGCTTGCAAAATGAGGCTGCAAAGAAATTGGCTTTTTATGAAAGAAAATATCTTGCTTGTTTCTGTTGCCAAGCAATTCAATTTCATATCTAATTTTGTACTTTGGGAGCAGAACTGCTTGTTTAAAAAGCAAAAAAGAATGTAGCTAAGTCCATAAAATTGTTTTGTGATAAGATGCTGCTGTCTTGGAAAGTTACAGAAAGTATGTTTATAAATATTTGAATGCACAGAAGAAATAAAATTATTTTGGCAAATATTTACCTACTTGTTTATCTTTTATATGAACCAGCCCCTCAGTCTGCATTGAGGCATAAGTGAAAAAACACCTTAGCCCAACCTGAAATGGGGAAGGAAGTGGAGAAGGTAAAAATGTAAATGAGAATTTCAGAGATGCAATCAGAGCTGCAGTTGCTATCAGCCTGAGAAGTGAAAGTGTTATCAACTCTCCTGCAGCTGCCAGGTGCAGGTAGGCTGATCAAGCATTGCTGCTGGCATTGTGAGAGCTGGAAGCGTTGGCTGAGCTGCTGTTCCCTCCTGGGTGACAATTGCAGAGCTCCCAGGCTCAGCCCAGCCTCACCTCCAGCCTGCTGCTCTTATCTCTGCAGCCCTGGCTGTTTGATAATCTGCATTTCAAAGGACAGCTGGAGGCAAGGGCTAAACACTCCCTGTTGGAGGCAAGGGAAAGGCCAAGCAAAACTGGTTTGCTTTGGGAAATTGTCCCCAGATATTGATGCAAAGATTCTCTATATCAGGTCAGGTACCTGATTGTCTACAGGAATGACACCCATGGTGCTGCTGTTCCTCCTTGGAGGTGACTAAATCTGTGGAAACTCTTTCTGTAAAGTGTTATCTGTCAACTTTGCTGGTGATCTCCACCTGGTGTAAGATTTGAATGAAGTGAAATGATTTCCAAGCAGCTGAAGCCAAGGAATGCTTCCAGAGGAGCAGGGGAGGGGATGGGGCTGTTCTGGAGCCGTCTGCACTTCTCCAGTCACACAGTTCTGAGTTCCCTGTGGATCTGAGAAGCCTCAGAGGAGACCCTGGGGCACCTGGCAATGGCCCTGCTTTGGTTTTCAGTGGCCTCTGCCACAAAATCCTTTCCTCTGTCACATCAGTGCCCTGTTCCAGCCAGGTGCTCAAACCCCCAGTGTGAGAAGTGACAAAGAACCCCTGATGCAAGGTGAAAACAAACTGAGAGTGAGCCACCTGTCTTTTCCATGTGTTCACTCTGACCTAGCTGATTTCTGCATCTGTCAATGAATCACCTCATTGCATGGAATCAATCAACCCATTGTAATCAATTAAAATGAATGGATGTATGCAAAAATGGCAAATGCTTCCCTCAGCAAGGGCCTCAGGGGAGCAGCCTGTCAGCAGCCATGCTCTGCAAAGCTTCTTTCATTTCTCTAAGCCAATAAATACAAATGCTGAGCACTTCAGGACCTGAATATTAATGCAAGTAATTAAACATGGGGGGTTTTTTCCTAGCAGATGATTTCATGAGCAGAACCTCCTCCCTGTCTAGCCTGTGTTGCATGAACAGACCCTTGGCCCTTGATTTATCCCCACAGAAAGCTGGGAAGGGGGGCACCGAGGACATCCTTAGGAAAGACAGCCATGTGCAAGAGCCAGATAAAATTTCCTCCTCCTTTTTGACTGTGCTGGTTAATACCAAGGTTGTGAACAAGCCCAGGATGGTGGTTTGAAATTGCAACTGAGCCTGCCCTGTGGTTCCTGCTGCCTGTGGTTGTGTTCATGGGCAGGGGCTGCTGAGAGCAGCAGAGCAGCCCCAGCCCTCTGCAGCTCAGCAGGGACCCCTCCCCTGCAGCATGATCCCTGGCTGAGAGGAGAAACACAGCAATAATCATTGCAGCAAATAATTATTTGTTATAACCGTCTAAAATTGTGAGGAGTTAAAGGAATGCCCTGTCTTTACCCAGGTCTGTCTTTCCCCACCCCAGCTCCCCCTTTCCCACATTTCAGCTGCTGTCGGAGCAGGGAAAGAGGGAAACACAGCACTAGTTATTATAGCAAATAATTATTTATTAAAACCCTCTAAAATTGTGGAGAGTTAAAGGAATGCCCTTTTACCCAGGTCTGTCTTTACCCAGGTCTGTCTTTACCCACTCCAGCTCCTCCTTTCCAACATTTCAGCTGCTGTGGGAGCATGGAAAGAGGGAAACACAGCAATGATTATTATAGCAAATAATTATTTGTTAAAACCCTCTAAAACTGTGGAGAGTTAAAGGAATGCCCTATCTTTACCCAGGTCTGTCTTTACCCAGGTCTGTCTTTACCCACTCCAGCTCCTCCTTTCCCACATTTCAGCTGCTGTGGGAGCAGGGAAAGAGGGAAAGGCCAATTCTGCAGTGTGGGTGCTGCAGTCCAAGCAGGATGCAGAAAGGGTCAGGGCTTTGCAGAGAGCTGCAGGGTGATCAGCAAATTAATGAGCTGCTCCCCCAGCCCTGGGCAGCTCTGGGCTGGCATTGGTATGGGCAGCACACACTGGCACAGATGCGCTGCTGGTGGCTTGGCAGAAAATTCACTCTGCTTTCCCCCTTCTCTGCAGCTCTCATGAGAAATGTAAGGCTCTGTTCCCTCTTAAATTCGCTGATCACTTTAATTTATAATTAATAGAAATTAAATTTATAATTTAAAGAAATTAAAGAAACTTTAATTTATAATTTAAACATTTTTAAAACCCCAATAAATTAATAAATATTAATTATAAAAATATTTTTTTAATTAATTATAAAATATAAATAAATAAAATTAATATTTCTGTGCTTGGCTGGTCTCAAATTCACTGACCACATAGAAACTTTAATTTATAGTTTAAAAGTAAAACCAAATTAAAATCAATAAAAGTAATAAGTTAATAAAGAGTAATTATTAAAAAATTAATTGTAAAATAAAAATTAATTAATTAATAAAATTAATATTTCTGTGCTTGGCTGTTCTCAAACTCATTGACCACATAGAAATGGTAATTTATCATTTAAAAGTTTTAAAAAACCTAAAATAAATGAAAGTAATAAATTCATAAATAAAATATTAATTATAAAAATAAAATTTTGAAATTGCTTATAAAATAAGAATCAATAAATTAATAAATGAAATTAATATTTCTGTGCTTGGCTGTTCTCAGGGAATGGGTACAGGATGCACTGAACAGCCTGCACCCCTAATGGGGAATGGCACTCATTTTTCTCCCTGGGACAAGGGAAAATAGATTTTCTTCATTTGCTAATCTAGAGAAAAAATCTGGCAAGGAAAAAGGGCATCCTGATGGGCAATGGGATGGGGTGCATGAGCTGTAAAAACTCAGCTCCCCAAGGAAAGCAGCTTTTCCACCAGCAGCCCCAGAAATTCTGTCACAGCCCCCAGCCCAAGGAACGGCTCGGGTTCCCTGCCCTGACAAATATCCACAATCACAGGTGAGACACAGATTACAAAGAATTATTTGATGTTTTCCTCACCCACAGCTGGTTCCAGCCATGTCTGTCAGCACTTGGCTCCTGGGGAGGCTTCCTCTTCTCTAAAATATAAATTTTGATCTGTGTTTGTCTGATCCTGAACTGGTTTGAGGTGTTTTCTCTCACCAGCACTGATGATTTTGCTGCAGGAAATTTCTCAAGCTGAAATGGAACCTCAGTAAATCAAAGCCAGGAATGAGAAAGATGTGAGGGTGCAAGCAGGGAGGGAAATCCTCCACACACCTCCCAGGAAAGTTCTGCTGAATAGGGGAGAGTGAACAAAGGAATGAAGAGCTCATGGGAAAAGGCTGACCCAGCATCCCTGCAGGGGCACAAATATCTGCCCTGAATCTCTGCACTCCCTTTGGAGCCTGCCCTGGTCAAACCCTGCCTGGGCAGGGCTGGGAAAGGATCCTGGCAGCAGCTCTGCCCTCAGGATTTCTGCTGCTCACAGTGACCCCAGATGTGTTAAAGTCTCTTTTCCCAGCCTGGCAATCAAAGAAGGAGTCAGAACTCTTCTATTCTCGTTCTCAAGGTTGTTTATTGTATCTTATCTATAAAATTCTTTCTCTGCCCTGCTGAGGTCCGTTCAGCAGGTCAGACAGAGGCTGAAGGATCTCGGCAGGCCAGAGAAAGAATTTTATAGATAAGAAAATCTTATACTATCTTTAAAGTATAAGAAGGTTGTAGCCTTCTTATATAAAGAAAATCTTTATACTATCTTTTAGTATAAAAAGATAACTGATGTTATCTTTTTATACTAAAAACCGCATGTACAATATTTACCATAACTTCCCAATCCCTATCACTTATGTTAGTCAGTGAGCTTCTACTCTAAACCAATCCAAAAGTGCCACTATCACAGCAGATGATGGAGGCCAAGAAGAAGGAGAAAGGCTGGACACGCCCAGATTCCTCCTGAATCCCCATTCTAAAAACCCCAACAAATCTATTTTTCACCCTGTGACAAACTAGTTATTATTTTGCTTAGACTTTCATGGCTTGCAGATCCTCGTATAAGGTTGGCAATTTTTTCATCATCAAAGTCACAGGTGTCCTGGGCTCTGTGCCAGGGTCTCAGAGCCCCCTGGCAGGGTTTGGGCAATCCAGGACAGACAGAGGGATGTGCTGAGTTCTGACACCCTGGGTTCTGGCGCTGCTCTCTTCCCATCCCCATGCAAATGGAAATTGCAGCCCCACCCTGCAGCACCAG